TTTCATTTTTTAGTTTGAGATAGGTCTGCCAAGTTGTCCAGGCTGGCCTTGAATTTCCATTACACTTACCTTAACCTCTTGAGTTACTGGGAGTACTGTGGTGTGTCACGTTCCTAGCCCCAAAAGATGTCTTAAAATTTTTGTGTGTGTGCTGAGGTTTCACACATGCTAAACAAGCACTTTACCACTGAATTACATTTTCTAGTCCTCGATAGGTATATTCTGAATCAGTAGTTATAGATCTATCTCATAATATTTAATGATATTCCATTTGTAGACACATCCAGTGCTGACAGTTTTTTCTATTATGAAACTATGATTTATTTACCAAATATTTTTCAATACTTTCTGTATGTCAGGCCTATGTTATATTTATACTTTTAGTTAAGTTTAATTTTTTTTAAAAAAATTGGGTCAAAGGATAAGCATTTTTTTAAAAGTTAGACCCCTCCAATTTAATTATTTAAAAAAATCACTTATTTATTTATTTGGTACAGGGTCTCACTATGCAGCGCAAATTCACAGTGATCTTCCTGTCTTAGCCTCCCCAGCACCAAGTGGTGTGCGGTACCAGGATCAAACCCCAGTCCTTGTGCTTGCCAAGCAGGCACTCAGACCGCTGAATTATCTCCCACGCCCCAGGATAAACGTATTTTGAAGTGTGATTATTTTCCTGAAAGCTTGTATACTGATGGATGATTATCAGATGTAGTAAATAACAGTGAATAGGAGTGGCAGATTTCCTGTACCTTATACAAAACTAGGCGTTATTGATTTTTCTAGTACTTGTCAATTGCATATGATACTTATATCTATTTGGTTGTTGCTAATGAAGTTGCATATCTTATACTTATGATTTTCTTTCATCAGTTGTGTATTCATGTATTTCTGCCTATCTTTTTTTAAAAAAAACCTTTTGTAAGACCTACGTATACAAGAAGAATATTAAATTTATGTCTTACATTTTAAAATTTTCCTAATCTTTTTTTTTGGTGGAACTGGGAATTGAACTCAGACCCTTGTGCTTGCCAGGGAAGCACTTCTTAATCTGTTATTTGTCTTGTTTCTTCATAACGCCTTTTACAGTGTAGACTTACATTTTTATAGTTAAATATGCTAATTGTTTTTGTGTTTTCTATTTTGGATCTATGTTCTGGTAGTCATATCCCTGCCCTGATGCCACTTTTTTTTTTTTTTTTGGAACCAGGGATTGAATTCAGATTCTTGTGTTTGCCAGTCAAGCGCTTATCCTACTGAGCCATCTCCCTGGCCCCCCTTTCTTCTTCTTCTTCTTTTTTTTTTTTAATGTATTCTTTTTTAATTTTTTTTCCATAATTTTATTGAGAAACAAATAGCAATGAGACAGTTTCAAACCAAATTGGCAGGACAGTTTCAATAATTAACACACTGCATACATTCTTCTTAGTGGTTAATTGCTGTATAAGATGCGGACATGATATCCTATTTACAAACACCATTAGAACAAATCCCCCTATTCAATGAGAGAATGTAACTATATATATCTATCCTAACCACTTTGAATACACAGATACAAAATGGACATTCATCTGTATCCCCTTTTTTTGTTAAGTGCCATCATTTAAATATAGTTGTGTAAAATCAGCAAAATATTCTAAAAGAGTTCAGTAGTCCATAATAGTATTGGGTCTTCCACTTCACTGGAAATGTCAGAAACTGTTGACCTGAGTCCCCTATAGCTCAACGTAAAACCATGGCTTTACTTCTTATGCTTCGTTTTTATACTTTTCTGCTAGATGGTTAAGACCAAGGTAAAGCAGGACCTATGCAACAAGAGTTGTAGCTTTTGGGTCTGATAAGGTCAGTGAAATCCTCTCAGGATTTATCCTGAGATCCTGTACCTCATATTGTAGAACCTTTGTCAGTGTCAGCCATGTTGATGAGTCATGGCCATTGCTTGGCCAATGTGCTCTCTGTGAAAGCCTGAGAGAATGTTTTCTCTCCATGTGTCTCTCCTTAGGCACACTCTACATCATTGATCACTTTCCTCTTTGGCCCCATAATCTCCTTGATCAGAAAATTTGGGACACTACCAAGTTACATGACGTTACAGTACAAGTTCTCGTATGTCCTGAGTCTTAATTGACCTGGAAGGCTAGGGCCAAAATGTTGGCTTTCCTTGCAGCCTTCCTTTTTCTCTAATTTTGGTCTGCAAACTTAGGTTGTTAACCATCCAGAAGACAAGCTTATTGTCATTACCATACAACCTAGGCTATTAAGCTTAACTTCACTATCTGTGTGAATATCGAACATTTTAGGCATAACATGGAACAGATATTTTTCATCAAGTATTGATAAGTTGAACTTTAAGTCCCTACAGAATATGATGAAAAAACATTTAAAAATTAGAATATATTTTTAAAAATAGGCATAAAGAATTATACACTTCTTATGTTTACACATAAGTCCAAAAATCTAACCATATACAACCTTGAAGCAGGACAGTCACACAATATTCCTTTTCCTATCTCCTGCCTTCATTCACCACCCCCTTCTTTTTGAACAATCATCTACCCGAGAGAGAGCACAGCAGCAGCTGGCATGTTATGACAAGCAGCCCATATTCAGAAGACCAGAATGACAGGCACCACATTTTTTTCTTTATAAAATTCAAATTCTAGAAAAAATTATTGGTAAATAAAAATTTCCATCCAGGTATTGTGGTACTTATCTGTAATGTCAGTGTTCAAGGAGGCTGAGGCAGGAAGATCACAGTTTTAAGCTCTGGCTAGGCAACTTAGTGAGTCTGTTAGTTTACTTTTCTCATTGCTGAGACAAAATACTTGACACCCAGAGTTAAAGGAGACAAGGCTCACATTCTGTAGAGGTTTCAGTCCATAATCAGCTAGTCCCAACACAGGGGCAACAGGGCTAATGAAAACGAGAGCATAAGTGGGTGTGGGACCCCTTTTTCCTCCCTTCCGTTGTATACAGGCTGCCAGTTCCAGTGGCTGTAGCACTCCCCCGTCTTGTATGGACTCGGGATGTTTACTAAGTGAGTACCCTGGCCCCCTGCTAAGTCGCTTAAACTTCTAAACTTCTCAGGCTGACATAAAGAACGACATCCTAGAGGTTAGGGCACCTTCCTCTACACCACAGGAGGTAGAACTGCTGAGTTACTTAGTTAAGCTTCTAGACTTCTCAAGTTGACACAATGGTTCAACCATACCACCCTGTTTAAAAATTATATTTTTTTTTAATAAATGAAAAGGGCAGGGAACATAGAGCAGTGCAGAAGCCCTGAGTTCAGTTGCAGCACTCCCCTGAGCCCCATACTAACGCCAAATGAATTAGTTACATTAGAGTTTCAGAGTGATGCTTATTGTAAGTAGTTGGGGAAAATGAGACTTTATTTTAACCAGTTTTTAAAAATGAAAATCTTCTTAGTGAAAATTCTTCTAAGTGAATACTTACCATAGACAACAAAACATATATTAAGCTTACAGTAATGTGCTTTTTATTCTCTGAAGGTTAGAGATATTATTTTCTTTTTCCTTATTAAGTTAGATATGCAAGGTAATGGTAGATGGGAGAATGAATTTGTTCTAAAAATTTCTTCCATAATTTATCTTAGAGATAAATTAGTAGATGTTACTTTAATTGGTATTTCCATGATATTAGCCACCTTCACCTTTTATTATCTAAATCATATTCCTGGGTCTCTTGATTACTTGTAATAATATTTGTTCTCTTCCATATTCTGTTGCTATATCTGGTGTCTAGTGTTTTTTGTCATACTTTTCCTTTTGTTTCTTTTACCTATTTCAGTTTGACATAGGTAAGAATTGAGAAAGCATTTGCATATTGTCTCATAAAAACATGTTTTAGTTTTGAACAAATTAATCATACCTTTTAATCTTTATGTACAGATACTTTTGTATGTGTGCATGCTGGGGACTGAACCCAAGGCCTTGTGCTTGCAAGGCAAAAATGCTAGCGCTGAGCCACATCCCCAGCCCCTAGGTACAGATTCTTTCTGGTAGAGGGCATGTTTTGGTGTTTCCTTCAGCTCCCAGTGCACACCTCAGTACAGGTGTATGTATATGCATTGTACATATATGAAAAGTTATTGTTGTTTGATCTGATACAGTATTGAAATAATATAATAAAAATGTTAGCTTTAAAAACTTAATGAATGTGCTTTTTGATCTTGATTTACTTGTCTAAAGTAACATATTTTTAATTTTATAAATTGAGATGATCTCATATTACAGCAAGATCGAATTTTGCAGATGTGAGAACCAAAGATTTAAGAGTTGAGGACTTCTGGGGATTGTGTGGTATCTGTTTTGTTGTCTGTATAAATATTTGCCTTGTAGTATTTTAGTTTTGAGGATTTATGGAGTTTATGTTCTTGTTTGAAAAGAAAGTCACGAAGAAACTAACTTTTTTTTAGAGAGACAGCGCATCTTGACCTAGATATGGTCTTGGCGGCCTCAAACTCAAGATGCTCTTGCTTCAGCCTGTCCAGTGTTGGGAATAAAGGCAGGATTACACATGCTTTAATTTGGTTGGTCTTAAAATGCTCAAAAGAAAAATAATTTGTTTCCTTATATGCCCGACAGGAAGTGACCTATAAAAAAGGGAGCGACTCTAGATGGGTAGATAGCTCCTTTTTTGTGTGCTTGACTGTCTTAGGATTTGTTAAAAATGCCAATTCTCATTCAAGTAGGTATGGGAAGAATCTGAAATTCTGTATTTAATAAGCTGACAGGTGTTGCAGATGCCACTGGTTTGTGAACCAAGTAGAAAGAATGATTCCGTCTATAATTAAGAGAAAATAAGCATATCCTGCTGTAGTTTTGAGAAGCATTGTTTGAAGATAGCAGCATAGGTTTGGAATTGTGAGCTGCAGTTTCACACTTGACCTTGATGAAGTAAAATTATCTAATAAAAGATCTGTTAATGTTCATATGTTAAGGGATGTTAAGAAAAGTAATCAACACCTATTTTTCGAATAGCATTCACAATTGAAGTTGGATGGTGAATGGGTCTGAAACCTTTGAAAAGGTTCTGGGGCTGACATGCTGAATCTTGGAGGGAAAGAGAAAAGCATCTTCAGATATAATAAAAGTAAGTATCTAGTCAAATATTTAGAACTTATAAGAGTGGAGTGTTGACTAGGTGACAGTCTGCAGTTGGGAATGTCTCCCCACTGTATACTTACTGTAATTGGCATAGTGATACTAGTAAGAAAGTAAGAATTAGTGTGTTTTGTTCCTTTTTAAAACAGAACTTTTTTGAGCATATTCTGTGTGGAGAGTATGTTAGTCGTCCTTGTTTTCCAGGTCTGAAGAAAGCTTCAGTGTAGTGCTAACATTGCTCTTCTCAGGCTGTTCCCCAGTATCAGCTACCTGGGTGTAAACAATCTGGGCGTTATTCCCTTATCACCATAGAACGAGTGAGACTCCTAGCCTTGGAAGTGGCAGGAAACGCTATGATGAATATGGAACATCTATCCATAGGGGAAAATTCGGCGAGCCTGGTCTTTGAGTCAGCAGCTGTGGTGGGTGTTTCCACTTGTGGTTTTAGAGATTTAACTTTTTAACTTTCCGTTGTACTATTTCAGAAATAATTTAGCATTTCTTTAATATAGCATCTAGCCTGCTCTAACCCTAAGATACTGAGTAATTACTACTAATAGTTTAATGTGTCCTTGACTAGTGTCACTGGAAAATTAGTTTCTTTGAGAAGAGTTGCAGTGCAGCAAGGAGACTTCGTTTATAATGCTGTCATGGAGACAGAAAGATGTGAAGTGTGCTCCTAGAAGATTGTGAAAAGTGATTGTAGAACTTTAACTGTTGCTCTAGTTATATCGACTGCTTAGGTCAAACAGGTGTCAGGTGTTTTCTCTTGTAAAGTGGTTTCTTATATTTGCAACACTTACTCTGTTTTTGTTAGTGTTTAGTTCTTTTTTATAACACAACTGTTAGAATTGAAAGGCAGACATAAAAAATATTAGTGTTTTCAAGAACCAGGCCAGTGAACAGATGAACTGAAACACATCGTTAGCTAAAAATACATTTTGCAAATTACATCTGAAGTTTTTTTTTTTTTTAGGAACCAGGGATTGAACTCAGGCCCTTGCACTTGCCAGGGAAGCGCTTATTCCACTGAGCCATCTCCCCGGCCCCTGAAGTTTTTTGTTAGTGTATTTATTAGTGTATCTTTTGGAAATGAAATCCAGCTGTCACTTAAAAAAAAAAAAAAGTCACTATACAAAAGTAGATGGGTGAGAAACAAGTTGTTAATGCCTCTCAGTTGTTATCTCATTCTTCCTTTAAGACCATGTCTTTCCTTCATACTCTGAAAACTAAAGGAATGAGAGTAAAAGAAAAAGAAATTATACATAAATCTAATATTGGGATATTTAATACTATTTATTTATTTTGCGATGCTGGGATTGATCCTGGTGCCTTGCACATACTAGGCAAATGCTCTACCACTACGCTATATCCCCAGCCCCATACCGGAATATTTAAAGTAAAACAGTAAAGTCATGGCGTGACATTTTCCTCCCCCATAGTAGGAATTTGAACCTGAGCCTCTTGTGTGCTGGGGGAACGTGTTCTGCTGTTGAGCTAAGGAGTGACTACTTAATATTATATCACCCATATTGAAGGATCTTTGGGGCAAAGACTATACTATATAATATTTGTGTCTGGCACATATAACTCTGTTCTGTGAAAAAAGAAAATCTTTTGGAACAAATGTTCCTAATCTGGTAAAATCTGATTTTTAACAACAAATTTATTTAGTTAAAAAAACTTCACAAAAGAGGCACTTTATTTAGCATAAGGCAGCTTGATTTATGTTATTATTATTTTTTAAATCTCAGCTCCACCTTTTAGTAGTTTTGTGGTCTTGGGAAGTCATTGGCTTTTCTATGCCGTAGTTTTCCGAGTTGTAATTGAGCATAGTAATATAACAGTCGATGTTATAAGGGACATTGCCAGATAATCTACAAGCTTGCAATAATTTTTGGCAAATAACTACAGAAAATGTTATTTGCTGCTAGTCATATTCAGAAGCAATACATTTGCATTATCTATGATGAATTTTTAGGGTTTTTTTGCATATGCGCATTCAGATTCTAATATTTGTGTGGCCACTTAAAATACACGCTGAATTTTAGTTTTGAATAAAAATCCTAATAATTTTCACTTTCAGCTACTGTACCTTTAATTACTAGAAAAATAGAGAAGCCAGTCTTCTCTATTTCTAATTTTCTTCAGTGCTTTTTCTTTTTCTTTTTTTTAAATTTTTTTTTAATTTTAACATTTATTGTGTGTGTGTGGGGGGCAGCTCAGCCCACCAGCGGGCGGGGCTGGCTGGCATGTGGTGCTGGGGGATTGAACCGCAGTCCATGTGCATTGCCAAGCTTGTTCCAAGTAGGTGCTTTAGACCACTGAGCCATCTCTCCAGCCCCAGTGCTTTTTCTAATAAACTTGTTTTTTTCTGTTTTGATGGAACCGGGGATTGAACTCAGATCCTGTGCCTGCCAGGGAAGCGGTTATTCTACTGAGCCATCTCCCCAGCCCCTTCTAATAAAATATTGATACATGAAATTTATTAGACATTAAATAAGTGCTAGGAATGTAATGGACCAAACTTGCTTCTGACCTTAACCTGCTTAGGGGCTAGTAGAGAAAGTTACTCCTGAGTTTTACATAAATATATGTTATTAAAACTACCTTTGAACTAGATTATTATTATTATTAAGATGGTAAATTTTTTTATTGTGTTAAACATGAAGTCTTACTGTGTTGCCCAGGCTAGCCTTGAACTTCTGGGTGCAAGTTGTCTTCTTCTTCCACCTCCTGATTCACTGGGACTGTAGGCACATGCCACTGTGCCTGGTGTAATGATAAAATTTGTTTGAGACAAGGTCTCACTATATAGTCCAGGCTGGCCTTGAACTTGCTGTGTAGCCCAGGCTGACTTGGAATGGTGAACTGCCTCCTACATGAAGTGACAGATTTTTGATTTGTGTTTTATGAGGAGTTTAAATTGAATTTCTTGAAGGACTGTCCTTGTATTTGTAATATCTTGCCAGTTTACCACACGCTGTGATATAGTATCTGTTATCACTATTGTTTTGCAAATAAGGGAATCAGGAGTCAGAGGTTAGGTACTTGCAACTACAAAACTTAAGACCGTAATCTTATTAAATTCTATGTTTTTGACGCACTAAGGAGCAAACCAGGGCCTCACACCTACTCATGCTGTACCACTGGGACTCCTAGTACATTTTAAGACATGTCCCCATTCTTCTCATAGGTCATAAGTTAATAGTGTCTACTGTGAGACCTAACATTATATTATATTGAAGGTTTATATGCCTGTTTTCCTTTTGATGAGAGGTTTTTGATTTTGCTTTTTAGACCAGGACTAATCTTACTTATTCCCCCAGCCTCCAGTAACTAGTCCCTGTTACATAGTAGATACTTCATAAATATTAGTTGAGTAGTGTGGAATGGTAGAAGTAGAAGCAATTTTAGAGCTCATGTAAGTCAAGTAGATGCTAGAATCTTAGCAAGAATTTAGCTTACTTATATAATCTTTATTTTTATACTATTAAAAATCTTACATCTCATTGAAAGGCAGTAGTAACCACAAAGAAGTAGAAAACCAATCTCATAGTAAACACAGTTGGTAGCTTCATACATATTATTTTGTTCTGGTTGGCCCCTGTATAGGGACTGGATTTCAGGAAATACTATCTGATTCATTCCTCTCCTTTTATAAAGGATAAAACTTAACTCACATGAGTTCATAGCAAGGCAGAAATATAACTGAATTGGAATCCTGGTCTTCTGACTCTCAGCTAAAGTTTTGATCCTGTCCCCTCAATCTTTGTCACGTGATTGGATTTAGGAAGAAAGAACTTGTATGCTAGGACCTGAATCCACAGTGTCTAACCCCATTTTTATTTTTATTTTTATTTTTATTTATTTATTTTTTTTTTCCGGAACCGGGGATTGAACTCAGACCTTTGCACTTGCCAGGGAAGCGTTTATTCCACTGAGCCATCTCCCCGGCCCCCCGCTAACCCCATTTTTAATGAAACCTGTGCATTTACTTCTGTGTGGCTTAGCAGATTCCATCAGTTGAGTTTCAGAAGCAGAATTATAAATGTTTGAAATTGGAAGACAGTGTTTGTATTTAGGATTTCCTTTCCTTGAGGTTGCAGATTTGGGGTTTATGCACCTTCTTCCAAAGAAAAGCATCAGCAGAGCTGCTATTGGGACCCACGATCTTGGGTCACATCTGTAGACTGGAATACTGGTGGGGCAGCCACCCGCAGACAGATTATTTAGCATCGGTAAGTGAAAAGGGTAGTTGAGGGTAAGAAAAGTAGATTGTTAGTTTTCCCTGTTTTTACTTGAATAAAATAAGTTGACTGCCTTTAAAAGTTTAATGTTTTATATTGATAAAAACAAAATATTTGTAATCTGGAGTGGAGCAGAGCATTTTCTTGATGTATATAGTGTGTCAGAATATAAGTAAATATTTTTTCTTTTGTTGCATGTCTAAGTTATAGTTAGGAACTTTGTTTCATAACAAATTATTCCAGATTCAGTGGCTTAAAACATAATCATTTCCAGGCACACACTTGTAATTCCAGCATCTAGGAGACGGAGGTGTAAGAGGGTCAAAAGGTGGAGTTCAAGGCCAGCAAAGGTTACATCAGGGAGCCCTGGACCAGCCTACTTACAGAGGAAGAACCTAAGTAAAAAAATTTTTTTTTACTCTGCTTGTGTATGTTCAGTTTGGTTAGGACTCTTAGTAAGAATGCTGTCTCCAATAAGTGTGGCATGAAGTGAGGTATCCAGAAAGGTGGGGATGACACAGTGGCTGCGAGCTGGGGTTGTTGGAAGGCTCATTCACTCACATTTCTGCTGGTTAGCACTGGCTGTTGGCAGGGCTTCAGCCTGGGCCGCTGGCCAGAGCACCTACCGGACATCACTCCTTAGGCTGCTTGGCTTCTTCTCAGCATGCTGGCTGGGTGCCAAGACAGCACCCCAACAAAGGAGGACAAAGGTGCGTGACGTATTTGGCTTAGCTCTAGA